ACTTTGCCCATGCTAAGTGAGCACTCTATCACTAAGCCACAACACCAGCCCCTAAAATTATTTTTTAAAAAAAAACCTCTGACCCTAAAAGTTCCACCAGAAAACTTCTAGAACTAGTAAATAAATTCAGAAAATATAAAATCAACACCCATAAAATCAAATGCATTTCTGTATATCAGTGATAAATCCTCAGAAAGGGAAATGAGGAAAACAACCCCATTTACAATAGCCTCAAAAAAAAAAATACTTGTGAATAAACTTAACAAAAGAGGTGAAAGATCTATATAATAAAGATTACAGAGCCCTAAAGAAAGAAATTAGAGAACATCTTAGAAGATGGAAAGTTCTACCTTGCTCTTGGATAAACAGAATTAATATTAGCAAGCTGACCATACTATCAAAAGCATTATACAGGTTTAATGCAATTCTGAGCAAAATCCCAATCACATTCCTCATAGAAATAGAAAAAGCAATCATAAAATTCATCTGGAAAAATAAGAGATCCATAATAGCTAAAGCAATCCTTAGCTGAAAGAGCAAAGCAGGTGGAATCACTATACCAGACCTTAAACTATACTACAGAGCAATAGTAACAAAAACAGCTTGGTATTGGTACCAAAACAGACTAACAGACCAATGGTACAGAATAGCAGACACAGAAACTAACACACAAAATTACAATTATCTTATATTAGACAAAGGCGCCAAAAACATGCAATGGAGAAAAGATAGCCTCTTCAACAAATGGTATGGTGAAAACTGGAAATCCATATGCAACAAAATGAAATTAAACCCCTATCTCTCACCATGCACAAAACTCAACTCAAGGTGGATCAAGGATCTGGGAATAAAACTAGAGCCCCTGCTCTAATAGAAGAAGAAGTAGGCCCTAATCTCCATCATGTGGGATTAGGCCCCAACTTCCTTAATAAGACTCCTTTGGTATAAGAATTAAAATCAAGAATCAATAAATGGGATGGACTCAAACTAAAAAGTTTCTTCTCAGCAAAAGCAATAAACAGTGAAGTAAATAGAGAGCCTATATCTTGGGAGCAAATCTTTACCTCTCACACATCAGATAGAGCACTAATCACTAGGGTATATGAAGAACTCAAGAAGCTAAGCACCAAAAAAGCAAATAACCAATCAATAAATGGGCCAAGAACCTGAACAGACACTTCTCAGAAGAGGATATACAATCAACAAATATATGAAAAAATGTTCATCGTCACTAGCAATTAGAGAAATGCAAATCAAAACTACTCAAAGATTTCATCTCACTCCAGTAAGAATGGCAGCTATTATGAAGACAAACCACAATAAGTGTTGGAAAGGATGGGGAGGGGGGGAAGGTACACTCATACATTGCTGGTGGGTCTGCAAATTGGTGCAGCCAATCTGGAAAGCAGTATGGAGATTTCCTGGAAAATTGGGAATGGACTCACCATTTGACCCAGCTGTCCCTCTCCTTGGTCTATACCCAAAGGACTTAAAAACAGCACACTACAGGGACACAGCCACATCAATGTATATAGCAGCACAATTCACAATAGCTAAACTGTGGGACCAACCTAGATGTCCTTCAAAAGATGAATGGATTAAAAAAATATTGCTGACACTCAGCAATAAAAGATAATAAAATCATGGCCTTTACAGGTAAATGGATGGAGTTAGAGAAGATAAATCTAAGTGAAGTTAGCCAATCCCAAAAAACCAAAAGCTGAATGTTTTCTCTGATATAAGGAGGCTGATCCATAGTGGGGTTGGAATGGGAAGTGTGGAAGGAATAGACAAACTCTAGATAGAGTAGAGGGGTGGGAAGGGAAGATAGGGGGGATGGGGTTATTAATGATGGTGGAATGTGAGGACATTATTATCCAAAGTACATGTATAAAGACACAAATTGGTGTGAATATACTTTGTATTCAACCAGAGATATGTGTTATGAGAATTGTAATGCATTCTGCTGTCATATATAAATTTTAAAAATTAAAAAAACACTCTGGTGCCAAAATTATAGATTATGTCAGCATGGGATATTTAAGGTGGAAGTGCAGATGATGATGAAGAATTGGCTAATTAAGAAGACAATAAAGTGATTAAATTCAGATACTATTAGGAAAAAAGTGGCCTCTTAAGACAAAGATTCTACATACCCACTGCAAAAATAAAAGTAGAATGTATAATTTCCACCAGTACATTACAAAAAGAGGCAAAGAACATTCCATTAACTCATTACAAGCCTGGGGAGGGAAACAAAAGAACATGAGATGGTAAAAGATCACAAATTGAAAACACACAATAAGATGGCAGAAGGGATCTAAATATATATTTTTAAATAATAATAAATATGGAAAAATTTGTTTCCTAAAAGGCAAAATCTCAGGTTGTATTTTTAAAACTCTATTCACATACTGAAGAAAATAAAAAACTGTGATGACCAAAAGTATAAAAACCTATAGCTTACCCAAAGGACTTAAAAACAGCATACTACAGGGACACAGCCATATCAATGTTTATAGCAGCACAATTCACAATAGCTAAACTGTGGAACCAACCTACATGCCCTTCAATAGATGAATGGATAAAAACAAATGTGGCATAGATACACAATGGAATATTACTCAGCAATCAAAGAGAATAAAATCATGGCCTTTGCAGGTAAATGGATAGAGTTAGAGAAGATAATGCTAAGTAAAGTTAGCCAATCCCAAAAAAAACAAATGCTGAATGTTTTATTTGATATAAGGAGGCTGATTCATAGTGGGATAGGGAGCGAGAGCATGGGAGGAATAGACAAACTCTAGATAGGGCAGAGGGGTTGTAGGGGAAGGGAGGGGGCATGGGGTTATTCATGATGGTGGAATATGATGATCATTATTATCCAAAGTACAGGTATGAAGACACAAATTGGTGTGAATATACTATGTATACAACCAGTGATATGAAAAATTGTACTCTATATGTGTAATAAGAATTATAATATATTCCACTGTCATATATAAATTTAAAAAACCTATAGCTGCCAGTTACTAAAAGAAAGTAGAGGCACCATTGATATCAAAATAGAATTGAAAATAAAAAACATTAAAATTATCAAAAGAGGACATTTCACATTGCTAAGTAATATGCCAGACAGATGGAATGATCATGAATTTAAATATCCCTAACCTGATTTTGAAATACCTAAAATAATTGGTAAAATCACAAAGGAAAATTAGCAAATCCACATCATAAATCATCTATTTGAGTCTCCCACTAGGATATACTATGAATAAAAATACGGAGTATTTAAATAATAAACTTGGGCTGAGGTTGTGGCTCAGCAGTAGAGCACTTGCCTAGCATGTGTGAGGCCCTGGGTTCGATCCTCAGCACCACATATAAATAAATAGAATAAACATATAAAATAATAATAATAATAATAATAATAATAATAATCTTAAGTTTATGCCAATCGATGTTCATAGAATTTACACCCAAAAAAGTAATATAATTCATTCATTTAACCAGATAACATTTGCAAAATATTGGTTCTACAGAAAGTCATAAAGGAATTGACAGTAATACCCACATATATACACTCACAAATATACATAGAAAACTGACCACAGTATATTAAAATTAGAAACATTTATTAAAAATTGAACCCAGTCATCTAGATTTTTTAATTCACTTCTAAATAACTCATTGCTTATACTGAAGTTTCCAATTATTTAGAAATGAATGAAAATGACAACATTCCTGTCCTATACAGAGTCCATGTAGTTAACTTTCCTCAATGTCTACTCAATAAATGGTTTTGAAAGAAATGGAAAAGGATAGTCAGAACTTCAAATCATAAAGAAAACACTGTGTGTTCATTATTCTATGAGCAGGATGCTTATTATAGAAAGATTTTCTTTGGCATGACAAAGTGAATACAAATGTTCATGTTAAAAAGAAGAGCCATAAAGAAAGTCAGATATCTGGGATGACTCCATTCATAAGACTCCTGGAAGGCTTTGTCATTATTGGTTGTATTCTAGTGTTTAAAAAACTTTTAAAAAATGAAATAGTAAAGTAATTAAGATTACAAGAGTTAAGTTTAGTGATAAACTCCCTACATAAAAGCAATATGCTCTATGAAAAGTCTTTGAAATAAGACAGGATGGAGGGAAGGTAATTCCAATGAAATTTTATCTCTAGGGGGATATATAATCAAACTCCTCCAGCATAAGTACTTTTCTATTATATTCTTATGTCTTGTTCATTTGTGCATACTCAGAGGATTTTATTCTAAGACTGTATCTATGGGTGAATAACCTTGTTGTCTGTAGATTTTATGTTAGTATAATATTTGTGTATATATGTGTTCATCAAATTAACAAATCAATGACAATTTATGGAACATGAAAAACTGAACTGAGAAATTCATTTGAGGAAAGAGGCTTTGTTGCTCCTGAACTTTTAAATATTGAACTTTATATTTTCTGAAGTGATATTATAATGTATTTCTAATGGCAAAATGTATGAACACATAAAATGGTAAAGATGGGTTTATATCAAGGAGATAGAAAAAAATGAGGTTAGGAAGATATTTTGGAGCTCAATGGCATAAAGCCTTGAAAACTTTAACATGGGTGTGACCTTAGAAACATGCGGTACCCCTCTTAATCTTTTAATTTATACTAAGAGAAATTAGACCCCAAGAATCTCTAATTGCTTGTTAACACTTCCCATTTTATGGGAATGAATAAATTTGTGTTTGTAATGATCAATAGACAAGAGGTAACCAGTGAAGATTTTAAATTAAAATAAAAGAATAATATAATCATAATTGTTTTGAGGAGACCTCTAATGAATATTTTAGGATCAATCAGGTTGAGATCATGACGAATGAGAAGTCTCTCATAATGTGTCAGATCAGAGGTATTAAGAGCCAAGATCTGGAAATAGGGGTGGAGGACAGAAGTGGAAATATTGCTTGGAGTCTCTTCACTCAGACTACATATCACCACCTCTGCTCCTGAGTGTGTTGCTTAACTTCCCACAGTGTTCCATCATTATGAAAAATGGAGTTGATATAGATCATCTCTAGCAGTTCTGGCATCTGTGACCACAATGAGCATCTGAAAGCAGAAGGTCAAGGGTAGAGATGATCAGACCACATGACTCTTCCCTTCAACACAGCTCAGGTACAGATACCTGATGTAGGTTAGTTTGATCTTATTCTCTCTCTCAACACAAAAATTGGGGATATGTTACAGACTGTGTTAATGGTAGAACTCTAAACAGAAAGTCTGGGGACTCTTATTATTGAGGTTCCAAAGTTTCTGTGCATTAACTGTCTAAATTTTTCCTGGAATCCATACAATACCCTATATTTTTCCAGAAATTTCTTTTTCAGTTAAACAAGCCCAACTTGATTTTTCATGTTTTAAAACAAAAAGGTTTTGACTTAAGAATGCTTAATAGACTAGGTAAAATTTGCTAGCTGTGTTTCTGGATATTTTCTATCAAAGAAATGTTGCCTACCATCTTCCCACTACACATACACAGACACACACCACATACATACACACACCACATGCACATACACATACCACACATGCAAACACATACCTCAGAAAGTCTCTAAGTAATCTTTAAGTTTCAATTTCAACTTGTCAGCAAAGCACATATATCCAAAATAGTAAAAATATCAAACAACTAAACATTTCCCTCTTTCTTAACATTCTATACTGTGAGGAAACATTTTATTGTAGAAATTTTATTATAATTATTATTATAGTCATTATGACTCAAAAATTCATTGAGTCCAACAGTGTTTTCCATTGCATGTTAAGAAGAAAGTTGTTATTTTTGTCATTACTGAAGAATTCTACCTAATAGAAGTTATTTAAAGAACAGTTTTTGTTTTGATTTGATTTGATGAGATTTTTTAAACAAAGAGGACATGTTCAAGCCCTGGTTTGGCTACTTGACAACTGCTTAAACTTGCCATTTCACCTTCCTTGATGAGGCTCCATCCAAGACAACTGTTATGGTTTGAATCTTAAATGTTCCCCAAGGCTCCTGTGTTATAGGCTTGTACCCTGGCAGATGGTGCTACTGGGAGGTGGTGTAACCTTTAAGAGGGGAGGCCTAGAGGAAGGAAGGAAGAAAGGTCATTGGAGGTATGCCCTTGAAAAAGATATTGAAACACTGGCTACTCCTTTCTTTCTTTCTTTGCTTCCTGATCACCATGAGGTGAGCAGCTTTGCTATACCACATCCTTTCCTACCGTGACGTTCTATCTCTCCACAGGCCCAAAGCAGTGGAGCCAAGTGATCATGGACTAACTGAAACCTCTGAAACTGTGAGCCAAAATAAATATTTCTTCCTCTGAAGTTTTGTATCTCAGGTATTTTGTCACAGCAATGGAAAGGTGACTATGACAACAGCCTTCAGCACTGAGATGTTAACTGGCTGCCTCAGGCTGATGCCACTACCCTTTGTCGGAGAGCAATAGGGAAAGGGGTGCTGGGATCCTGGCTTCCTCATTAGTGCATATCCCTTCAGTTGTATTTTTGTTTTATGTTTTGAGACCTCTATTTTGTGCAGCTCTGATTACCCTAATTATTAATAGCTCTGATTATTCTTCTCACAGAAGGCAAACATCACCCAACATTTATGGAGTATTAGGGACATTACTCAGTCTCATATCAGTTTCAATTCCCTTAATCTCACCTCCGAGTTCAGGTCCCCACTAGAATAACATGGGAAATAATACAGAGTAAAATCAGAATTTTCCTCCCTCAATCTCTCTCCAAAATGTTTCCATGGTGACTTCGGTTTCTAAGTCACCAGTAACTATCTGTAACTATCTGATGTTTGCCCAAAAATCCTCATGAGGTATCTTGTTACTTTCTAAGTATGGCTCTAAGATCCTTCAACTCCTTTCTCTTTTCTGTCCATCTCAAGATTTGGATTTAGAGAAGAAATCCAATAGTCAATACTAGTTTGACAACTTATCTTTTTTTAGAAATGAAGAATCTGAAGAACAAAGAGATTTTAGTAGCTACACAAAATCACACCCTAAGTAAATGGAGGAGATAGGATTTGACATCAAGCATTCTGATTCTAGAGTCTTTGTGTTTTAGGACACAGCTATGAAGATATTATCCAGTTAAAAATTAATTATGTCAATATTCAAATATATCAATGAAATAGAATAAACAGTACAGTGGGAGATCAATAATATGAGGATTTTTTTAAATAATAAAAGCATAATTTCCAATTACTATAGAAAATGGATTTTTCAGTAAGTGTTAGCAAAACATATTAATGTGAGACCTTTCCCTACTCTTCATGCAAAAATAAATTCCAGATTGATCCAAGAAGTAAATATAAAAAACTGAAATCACAAAGGCAATAGAAGAAAACATAGAAGAAATTTTTAGCAAGGAAGACTGTGTAAGAGAAGATATAAAACCGATACAGCTTCAGAAATATCAATTCTACTTCTGGGACTCTATCCTACCAGTAGACTTACATATGGCTGCAAAAATATGTACACTGAATGCTTACTGAAAGCATCATTTTTATAGTTTTTGTTGATATTGTCTTAATTGCAAAGGACTTAATGTCCTAAGTGTGCATCATGGGACATGAGAGTTAGTTCAATAAATATGATATATAATATAGATATACATATACTTGTATAGCAGCATTAAAGCCAATATTTTGTAACAAGTTTAGAAGACTTCACTATCTTTGACTATTAGCTTAGAAAAGGAAGCTATGAGAGCAAGACATTTTCATGAGACAGAATATCAAGGATCATAAAAAAATACTTGAGAGTTAATGATCAAGGTTGGAAAGTGCATGGATTGCTAGTGACAGAATCAATTGCTACAGCTTTTTTAGAGTAGAGGGCAATTGATAATAACTGCCATCACTTGATAGCTGTGTGATGTTGAGCTTTATTTCCCTCATTGGCAGACTGGAAATAACTAACACTCATTTTGTTTCAATGCTTAAATGAGAAACAGTGCTAAATGCATAGATAACACTTAGGAAATACTACCTTGTGATTTGGCTCAAAATGCCAGGATAAAAATACCATAAATTGTATGACTAAAAAACAGGGTCTTTTTCCTCATAGTTATGGAGACATGGAAGTCCAAGATCAAGGTGGCAACAAGACTGGTTTCATTCTGAGGCCTGTCCCCTTGGCTTGTAGGTAGATGCCATCTTGTGAGTGCTCACGTGACTTGTCTGTGTGAATGGGTGCTAGGGGAGAAGTAGAAAGTAAGATCTGTGGTGTCTCTTCTTACAGGGGCCTCACCTCCATGTCCCCATGTAACCCAGCTATGTCCCAAAGGCCTCATCTCCAAACATCATCACACTAGGTAGGTGCTAGGGCTTCAACATATGAATTTGGAGTGAGGAATATAAACATCAATCCATAACTCCTCTGTGAACAAAAGCACATTTCTCAAAATGAAAAATACTTGCCCAGGCCTCAGTTTCTGTTGGAACAGATGCCACGGAATCTTATTCCAGAATTTCATGTGAAAGCTGAGATTTCATTTTGATGTTGGAGAATGTATTCTACAGTTTTCTTTTTAAGCCCTGAGGCAGGGACAGGATCATCCTATGAAGCATACAGCAGCTTTCCTATCCCCATCAGAGGTTTGCAAAGGCATTTCTTACTGATCCATTTCAGTGACAATAAAGAGCTCAGGAAGGCAGTGAGGGTGATGGGACACAAAATCAAATGGGCTTTGGACACAGGACAGTTCACATAATGCTTAATTAAAACTTCTCTTAAGCTTTATTGGCAAACCATCCAGAAGGTAGAAACACACTGGGGATCTTTTACACATCTGCCTTTATTCTGATCTGATTTCACTTGCCATAATAATAACATAATTTTTCTATAAAAAGACTTTAGAGAATTTTCTGTTCCTTTAAATAAATTTCTTTGCATAAAAAAGACTTCAGGGAGTCTTTATTAAAGATTTTCCACCAAAAAAGACTGATTTCACTCTCTGAAGTCCAAACTGTTTTCCAAATAATTAAGGCAAATTTCAACACTCTCCTGAAAACACTTCCCATCAGATCACTGGTACCTCTCTCATGGAGAGGCCGAAAGCATCAAAAATGCTTTTCATTGGCTGCTGAATTTCTGTCAATAGTTTTCATGTGTATTCTATTCCACATGATCATTTTTATTTACATCTTTGACACCTTTCCCAAATCAAAGCCAAGCTGAATCTTAAGACGTCTTAAACCCACTCCCTCTTGGCTTCTCGAACACCTTTAGCTCAGCCATCTCCATCATTTCTTTAAGATCAAGCTCTATCTTTCCTCTGGCTTCTTCTCTGCAGCTCATTAAACCTTCATATTAGGCCAAGAATTTTAAAAAATCCATTCTCAATCCTAAGACTCATTCTAGCTACTGTTTACTTTATCATTGCTACACTTTCTTAGTATAACACTGGATCTAATTGTTAAATCTTGTGAAAATATTTAAATCCAATTTCCCTGAATCATAGAGAAGCTTTAACAATGCCCTAAAAGAAGCTCCTCAAAATTATAAGAAATATGAAAAAAAGATAAATAGAATATAAAATCTGCAATATTGATGTCATAAGATCCACATAGAAAATCAATTTTATTGATTTTCTAGTAATGAACAATTCAAAAAATGAAACTAAGAAAACAATTTTATTTATAATAGCATTAAAATGACAAAATATTTAAGAATAAATTTAACAAAAAAGTATAATATTTGTATAAGGAAAACTGTAAAATCCACTAAAAGAAATTAAAGAAGACCTAAATGAATGAAAAGAGTCAGAAGACTTATCCTGTTAAAATATTGAGACTCCCTAAATTGATCTACAGATTTGATGAACTCCATTTCAAAAATCCCATCTGGTTTCTTTACAGAAATTGACAAACGACCTTAAAATTCATATGGAAATGCAAGGGAACCAGAGCCGCCAATCTTGGAAAAGAATAATGGAAATGGAGAACTCCCATTTTTTAAAAAATGTACTACAAAGCCATTCTAATCAAGACTGTGTAGTAAGAGTAAGACATACAGATCAATAGACTAGAGAGTTCAAAAATAAACCCTCACATTTACGGTCAAATGTTTGTGACAAAGTGCCAAAAGATTCAATGGAGAAAGAACAGTCTCTCCAACAAATGGTGCTGGCACAATTACATATCCAAATGCCAAGAATAAAGTTGGAACTTTAGGTTTCAGCCCTACGTGTAAAAAACTTGGAAGTCATCACTCCCAATTGTATAACAATTTAAAAAGTGATGAAGAAACTGAAAATCAATGACTGTTAGGGAACACTTGAAGGAACCGAGATTGTAAGGTAAACAGCTAACCCAATCTGGACAAATATTTGCATCTAGAGAGTCAGTGAGACTTGCTTACCTGGAGCAGAAGTCACTGGAGCCATAAATTGATAGGAACATTTAAATAGCAATTTTGGCAAATTGCTGGAGACTGCGTGGGGTCTATTATGAGAGTGAGAAACTCCTTGGAGCCTCAGAAAAATGGAGGATGTCTGCATGTTCATGAGCTTTACCTCCAGGATCCCTGCCACAGTTTCATAGTAAAGAGCCAAGGAAAATTTCATGGTCGTAGGTATACAGAACAGTTCCTGTTTTGAAATAACCCTTGAGCAAGTTCCATAAACAAGACTCAGTGTTTAGGGCAAAGGCTTTATCAGGGGAAAATGCATTGTCCTATCACCAGTCCCCTCTGCCCTTCCAGTCTAACCTAAGTGCTGGGGGTAAGAGAGCTAAGAAACATTCATGAAAATCAAATGCCAGGGAACCAGGTGCACCAAAACACTGGAATCTAGCCACAAGATTGTAGAATGCTCCCCCTCTTCAGTACTTTACCACTACACCAATAAGGTTCTAATATAAACACATTCTAGAAGGAAAAGTACCAACCAATATATCTCTCATGAGCATAAATGCAAAAATACTCTTAAAAATATTAGCAAATAAAATCAAACAATACATAAAACATGACCAAGTGGGATTATTTCAGATATACAACCCTAATTCAACATTCAAATCAATATAACTCACCACATCAATCAGTATAACCTGCCACATCAAATAGC